GAAGGGAGGGGAGGGGAAGGGAGGGGAAGGGAAGGTAAATTCAAGTGCGAGAAAATGAGGGAAGTGGACTGCCTCGGAGTCCCCTGGGGGTGGCTCCGAAACGCGAGTCCCAAGTGAGTGAGCCCTAAACGGTGTCAAGTAATGCCATCGACCCGTGGTGGTGGTGGGGGGAGGCGGGGTGGGTGGGGGGGGCGGTTTTGAAGTTACCGACCGACCAATAGTGACTTGAAGAGATAGGAGAGGGTAGGAGTAGGGAGGGGAAATAGTAATAATAGTAATCAGATATAGCAACATGAAGAGGAAGGAAGCCACCGCCCTAACGACGTTGCGAACGAAGTTGCGAGCAGAACTGCTAACTGACTGAGCTCATGCAAAGCCGTCATGCAACACACGCAACTGCGCTTGTGTGAACTTGTGTGACCGCAGTTGTCGTCCGCCGCCGCTCGCTGCACAGAGGTCCGGCGCCGTGTTGAAGGGAGTTTGTTGTTGCTACCGAAGTTGTGTCGTACATACTAGGAGTAATTACCCCGTAAAAAAGGAACTGCGTGAACACTGAATCGATCGAGTGATTGGTGGATGTATGTGTGTGTGTGTTTGTGCGTGTGTATGTATATATGTAGGTATGTACGTGTTGGGGGTTTGTCCGTGCACCTCCTCTTCCTTCCCCCCAACTTTTTCCTCTTCCCAAACCATATCTATAATCCAACGCCGCTCCAGTTGTCGTACCTGGTGGATCTTGCCCAAAATCTTGGACGAGCCCACGCCAACCGCCATGCCCCGAAACCGCTCGTCCAACAGCCTAGTCAGGTGGCACTTCTCCGCAAACGGAGCGGTCATGATTGTCATCTGAGCGCCACTGTCAATAAAAGCCTTGACGTGGACGCCGTTGACCTCCATCTCGACGTACAACATATGTACGGAAATGAAATTCTGGGAGGGTAAGGAGCGGGATGGGAAAGGGGGGGAAGGGGGGGAAGGCATGTGCATGTGAGTCAAGGCAGGCAAAACAGCAAGGGGAAGAGGTGGTGTGCACGGCACGGGGTTTGGCATTGGGCGTCCTTTTCTGGATCTGGATTTTGTGAGTGGTTGGTTGGTGAGCCGCGAGGCGAGGATGATCTCTCCCCCTACCCCGCAAGCCCACACACACCCAACACACACACACACACAACACCCACGCACAACTATGCACAATTATGCACATACATACATACATACATGCTCCGAAACCCCCTTTCTTTCCCCTCCACGGCTACCTCCGGATTGTGTTCCATGGCCGCTTCGTAGTTCTCGTCGATGTTCTTGCGGCGAATGGCCTCCTCTATCTTGGCCTGCATACGAGAGACACACACACGCACGCACGCACATGTTTGACGTATGCCTGTCTATCTGTCTGCCTGTTTGTCTACTGTCTGTCTTCCTGTTTGCGTAATTGCATGCCTCTTTACATACGTCAAGAAGGGTGACACGCGAAAACACGCACACACGCAGGAGGGATGGGGTGGAGGAGGTCGAGGGCATTCCGGGTGACCGTTGGGGGTTTCCGTTGAGCGGTTGTACTCCACTCAGTTACCTGAACTTCACAGATACATACATACATACATACATACATACACGCGCTTACACACTACATCTCAAGGGCCTCACGCTCGATTTTCCCCACCGACCCACCGACCCACCAACCTGCAGCTCCGGGTTGAAGGGGTCGTCCTCCTGCATCCGGTAGAGCCGCTCCAGCTCATCATTGGCGTCGTGCTGGGCCCTATGGGCGCCGGGGGTGAGGGAGTAAGAGGGGGAAGACACGTGTGCGCGTGTGTGTGTGTTTGTGTGTGTGTGTTTGTGTTACGGAGCCACCAGAGAGGAGAGCCCGATACTCCCCGATGCATTTTGATCCGACCCTTCCCGAATATTCCTCGTCGTACTTGTGTGCCCGTCGCAATTCCTCCTGAAGCGCCGCCACGTCATCCCCCATGATGGCGTCGTACAGTCGCGGCGCCTGTGTACGGAAAGTATCCATCATGGCGCGATCCGCTTTGAAGGCTTGGATGGCAGCGGCGGGGTTGACCAGGCTGCCATCGGCGTGACGTTGCATCAGTGCGCTACCGCCGCTACCGCCGCTACCGCCGCCGCCGCCGCCGGTGGTCGCGGCGGGTGTGCCGCGCTGCTGCAACTGCCGCTGCTGCTGCTGTACTTTGGCAGGTTGTACGAGGATGAGCATGTCGCCGGTATTAACACCGGCCGTGGCTGGTGTTTGGCTGTTGCCGATAGTAGTAGTAGTAGTAGTTGTTGTTGTTGTTATGGAGGGTTGCAACAGGTATTAGCATTAGGGCGAAGAATAAACTAGGGGAGTTCGGGGGAAGAGAAAACGAGATTTCTTGAAAGTTCGTGAAGGTTTCTGCTTCCTAGCCGGCCGCAAAGCGGCAATGGAAGATTGTTAATGCAGTGCCGAATGGGGAGAAAGGGGATAAGGGAGAGCGGGAAAGAAAAAAGAGGGAAGCGAGGAGCGGCGGGTGGGTGGGAAAGTACGACAAGAGGACGGCAATTGCATCATGAAGCGCCGAACCCCGGGACCATCAATGCCTGAAATTTCCCCCCCCCACACACACACCCACGCACATCTCCCCTCATACACACAGCTGCCCTTAGGTAAAGCTCCACCTGTCCAGGATCGGCCGGTTGTTGTGTATGAGGACAAAGGAAGCCGTTGGCAGCCCCGTCTCGACTTCACAAATGGCCTTGATGTCAGCAAAAGATGTGCTTCCATCAACCTGCAAGGCCATATGATAAAGCATCTTCAGAGGAGATGGACTCGTTAGGCCTCAGAAGTTCGGCAGCGTTCAAAATGTCGATGTTGAGCGAAGACGCTCCAGCCGCACCTCTATTGGGAAAACGTGTTCTCCATCAGGAGTCGCTATCGTGATTTGCATCGTAGGGGCAGGACAGACCTATGGCGCACCCAACAAAAGGATCTACCTTACCTAGCGTAAGGCCAAACCTTTAAAACAATTCAAGGGATTCGCACGCTCTGTAATGATGCCTCAACGTATATTACAACAAAGTAGGAACAGCCGAAAGCAAACGAAGGTCAGTCAATGGTGTAATGGCACGCACTTGCGCCGTACATTATGGTGTTGCATGCTGAGAGTACACAAATACAAATCGCGCAAGAGTGGAATCCTACACACATTAATCTTTACAATAACCAATTTTTTGGCAAGACGCGCGATGAGTTATAACGTCTACACGTTTCGCACTTGGACTCCAAACCCCGGCCACAACTTTAAGTGTCGCGCTTTCTACGTATTTGACAACAAGTTGAGGTCCAATCCTTATTCTATCAATATGGCAGCACAAGTTTTTGGCTAGCAAACACGATGATAGTGCAGGTCCAGAAGATGCCGCTGATGTGTCGGTGATTGTGGTAATGCTTTTGTTGGTGATGATGCTGATAAGATATCGATTGGCGGGTGAGGTTATGGGTCAAGCCCGGGTAGAAAGGATAGGGTTAGGTTTACAAATTCAACTGCAAATGTGTGTGCGAGCTGGTGTGTGCAAGCTGGGGTGTAAGCAGGGGCACATGAGTCATTGTATGAGCATTATAAAGCTGTTGTCTTATCATTAGCAGGGGCTTAGCCTGAGGGGCGACTTCAGAAAAGCGCCGATCGGTGGATTCATTTCTCGTAATATGCCCAGGATAAACTCCAATTATCCCCCATCTAGCTGTCCAAAACCTTAGCCTATCTCAGGGTCTCCCCAGGATAACCAGCGGTGGAGCGAGGAGCGCCAACCCATCCTCGCTGCTGGCCCCTGGCTCATCCATCCTGGTGTCACATTTCAGGATTGTGAACATTATATGAAGTTCATATGTGAAGTTCTCGCGAACATTATATATACTGCCCTTATTTCCCCTGCAGCTTTTTCCAACGCCGCCCGCACGCCGTGAGCACGCCATATCTGGCTCAGATAGAACAAGATTCCCACACACACATCACACAAAATGTTACAAACACCCACAAACACAGCTCTGCCAAACCAAGGCCCGCGACCGACCAGCTAATAAGAACTTATCTCCATATACCGTGTGCCGGCCACTGCTGCCTCTGCGTGTGAGCTCTGTGATGGTCACATAGGCTAGGCTACATAACGACTTAGTCACGGACGGGTTTTCCAGTCATGTATCCGGTCATGTATCCGGTCATGTATCCGGTCATGTATCCGGTCATGTATCCGGTCATGTATCCGGTCATGTATCCGGTCATGTATCCGGTCATGTATCCGGTCATGTATCCGGTCATGTATCCGGTCATGTATCCGGTCATGTATCCGGTCATGTATCCGGTCATGTATCCGGTCATGTATCCGGTCATGTATCCGGTCATGTAAGTATGTTGTTACAGGGTGGTTAAGCTTCACCAGCGGCCCCCTTTCCCGAGGCAGTTCCCTGCTCTCCCCTGCTATAGGGGCACCCTAGTCCGTTCACCCCATCCAACTTCAAATGTATTCGTTGGGTTCAGCAACTCACCACCAGCATCCAACCAAGTCTAGCAACTTAACGGCACCTCAGCTTAATTCCTGTTCAGCTCGCAAGTTGAAGTTATTACGTCCTACACCGTCCACAAGATGGGGAACCGCCTCCCATTCCATCACTCCTCAAATACCTAAGGGGTCGGCAGACGGGTTTGAACCCAATTGCTCCGGGAGACGAAGTTTGGCCTTTACCTCTGTCAGCCTAAACGCAATGTAATCGTACTATCTAAAGTAATATGCATTGTGCCGCAGCCTGGGATTGAACCAGGGACCTTTTGTTTACAAGACAAACGCTCTATCACTGAGCTACAACGGCCATGATATACTGCCATCATTTCCATCCAGATACCCACCGTCGCCATTGCAGCCATCAACAACCCCACCGCCGCCATTGCCACGTCGTGAAACCTGCCGTCGCCCCTTCCACCCTCGCCGTCCCCACCGTCGCCCGAACCACGCCCCCGCTGCCGCTGTCGCCAACCTGCCGTTGCCATTGCTGCTGTCGCCATCCCCGCCGTCGCCATTGCCGCCGTCGCCATCCCCACCGCCGCCATTGCCGCCGTCGCCATCCCCACCGCCACCATTGCCGCCGTCGTGAACCCTGCCGTCGCCCCTTCCACCCTCGCCGTCCCCACCGTCGCCCGAACCACGCCCCCGCTGCCGCTGTCGCCAACCTGCCGTTGCCATTGCTGCTGTCGCCATCCCCGCCGTCGCCATTGCCGCCGTCGCCATCCCCACCGCCGCCATTGCCGCCGTCGCCATCCCCACCGCCACCATTGCCGCCGTCGTGAACCCTGCTGTCGCCCCTTCCACCCTCGCCGTCCCCACCATCGCCCAAACCACGCCCCCGCTGCCACTGTCGCCAACCCTGCCATCCATCCCCATCCCGACCGCCACCAAAAACACCGTCGCACTGCCGCCATCACCCCTGCCACCATCGCCATCCCTGCCGCCGCCCGTGCTGCCGTCGCCTGAGCCACCGTCAACCAGGCCGCCATCACCACCTCCCCTTCCCCTTCACCTCCCCCACCGTCGCCATTGCCACCATCTCCACCTCCGCGCCGCATTCCCCTCTCTCCTCTCTCCCGCATCCCCACCTCCTATAGGAGATAGCTATCGCTTCCCAGCATTCTCCTCTCTCTCCCACACATCCACCTTTCCTATCTTCTTCTTCAGTGTGTGTTCATATCATCTGATGATCCAAATGAAGGGAATCCCGGGAATCGAAGGGAAGCCGGTTCCCAGAGTGCAGAGTGTGGCTTCGCTGCATGATTAGTGTCCAGGTGTGCACAGACATAAGGGCCAACATTGAGCTCCACGGCATGATGAGGAGTGATGGCCTCATGCGGGGTGTTGAATCGACAATGAAGATAATGAAAATGATTAAACTCAAGAAACTTGGCCAGCAAATCTTCAAAACAAACTAATTCGCGAATGGGCTGATCGGCCCATTCTTGATAGATGCCAGTATCTAAGAGTGATGAAACGAGTAGTTACGAGATCCGGGTGAATAACTGGCAACACAGGCCGGGAATCATTCCATCATGCGATGCTGAAATGCTTTGACGATCGGAAAGCAGCTCCAATACAGACTGATACAAGATCAAACCATTACTCGATACCATATGTGAAGGAACAGGCTCCAGTGGGAGGAAGCATTAGTTCGCTGGGTCTGCAGAGCCCGACATCAGATGCTGGCCGAGAGACAACCTAGTCGGTAATGAACACAAATCCCTTACACACACGGAATCGCATACATTTCAGAATGAACAATGATAGTAAAAGATGCCCTTGGTGTTGCATGTGTGAATCCTGGATCCAGCAGTGCAAGTTGTACCTGTCATGGACAGGGATGCGACCGTATTCGTTTTGGCCGTCTGGCGTAATAATGGTACCTCAAATTAATACGCCAGGCGTATGGCGTATCAATACGCCGGGGTTCACGCCATGCCGTATTACAATACTCGTGGCGTATTCCTTTGCGCTATTCCGTCATGGAATTCATGTTTTTCGCTTTTACAATGAAAGGCGTATTGCTTTAGTGTTTGGAAAACGATCTCTCACAAGATAAAATATGAATTTGGGCAACAGCCAGACCTGGACAGCCATCGAGCCATGTGCGCACACATTCGCGTCTGCATTCTAGCATTCCTAACAAACCGTGATTATCACAAATACTACAGCCCAAATAGAGATAGCTTGGGTGTCAGGCCAACACCACAGACGACAGACCACACCCCCCTAAAGCCTCCTCACTCCCCCACGGCGAACGACATCGCCTTCTGGCCAGGGTTGAGCTCCAGCGGCTGCTTGGTCCAGTCGAACCAGGGGAAAGTGGTCCGCAGCAATGCCTCAACATTGATGAACTTGCACTTGCGAGCATAGCGCTTGGAGCTAGAGCTATAGTCACCGACTTCTTCGAAATAATCCAACACAGCACTAGGCTTAGGTCCCGGTTTAGCGCGTTTTGCTTCGCGCACGTTTGCCAGTTCGCGGGTTGTTATTACCACAAGGTATGTTGCAAACCCAGTGATAAGCAAACCGTGAAACGTAATCCTAAGTATCAATTAATGACGACCAATGACTCGGGAATGTCAATAGCTCGATATTTCTCAAAATCGGCGAGTTTTCAGACTGTACGACAACCCAACGACAAACAATACGCCAACAATACGCCAACAATACGCCAACGCATAAACAGCCCAACTGGCTGGCGTATTCGGCGTATTAATACGGGCGTATTAGCTGGCGTATTAATATGGAATACGGTCGCATCCCTGGTCATGGAGCTGCCAATCACAGAGGCATTACAGTGTCTGGCACCTAACTGTGCCAAATACATGTAATTTATTCTTATATAATGTACTTTAGTGTTAGACCACACAAACAACAGCAAAAGTCGGTTCGGGCGACGGTGGGGACGGCGAGGGTGGAAGGGGCGACGGCAGGTTTCACGACAGCGGCAATGGTGACAGCGGGGATGCAGGGATGCGACCGCATTCCATATTAATACGCCAGCTAATACGCCCGTATTAATACGCCGAATACGCCAGCCAGTTGGGCTGTTTATGCGTTGGCGTATTGTTGGCGTATTGTCGGCGTATTGTTTGTCGTTGGGTTGTCGTACAGTCTGAAAACTCGCCGATTTTGAGAAATATCGAGCTATTGACATTCCCGAGTCATTGGTGTCATTAGTTGATACTTAGGATTAGGTAATAGGTTCGCTTATCACTGGGTTTGCAACATACCAACAGCAGCGGGCGCCATTGATGGGGGAGGCAAGCATGATGGGCATGCCGGTCACCGAGGCAGAGAACCGGGCATCAATGACCACGGTTGAGGCATTGCTACGGACCAGTTTCCCCTGGTTCGACTGGACCAAGCAGCCGCTGGAGCTCAACCCTGGCCAGAAGGCGATGTTGTTCGCCGTGGGGGAGTGAGGAGGCTTTAGGGGGGTGTGGTCTGTCGTCTGTGGTGTTGGCCTGACACCCAAGCTATCTCTATTTGGGCTGTAGTATTTGTGATAATCACGGTTTGTTAGGAATGCTAGAATGCAGACGCGAATGTGTGCGCACATGGCTCGATGGCTGTCCAGGTCTGGCTGTTGCCCAAATTCATATTTTATCTTGTGAGAGATCGTTTTCCAAACACTAAAACAATACGCCTTTCATTGTAAAAGCGAAAAACATGAATTCCCTGACGGAATAGCGCAAAAGGAATACGCCACGAGTATTGTAATACGACATGGCGTGAACCCCGGCGTATTAATACGCCATACGCCTGGCGTAATAATTTGAGGTACCATTATTACGCCAGACGGCCAAAACGAATACGGTCGCTTCCCTGCGGGGATGGCGACAGGGGCAATGGCGATGTTGGTGGTATGCATGTGTCCTGCCAACATGTGTGTGTCCTGCCAACAGCGTGTGTGCATGTGTGTAAGATGCTGTAATGTAAATTTGTTATCCAGCTAACAAGGACACAGATGGACTGCTGGTTAAGATTAAATGGAGATCAGTGCATGCAGTGGGACTTGGGACCCATCACTCTGGAACTGTACAGAGACAGCTGCCATTGGCCATTACACTGTTTATGTAGACATAAACAGTGAAGCCACAACCTGTCTGCAAGGCAACACCCACCACCAAAGAGAAGGACACTTAACATGCAGCCACAATGACACAAAGCATGACACGACCCAGACATGCACGACAGACTGGAAAGTAGTGAATTGAGCCTGTTGCCTACAAAGCCAGGTATGTTCCCTGATCAGCACATTATACACATGCCACTCAAAGGTCATCTGTCTTATCCTCATCCTCCCCATCATCACCATCCCTCAAAATTGAACTACTGAGCTGCTGTTAAGGTTTGAGATTACTCGGGCTAGGCTAAATAGCATAAAGTTCAAATCCTTTCCAGACCACTTATGAACTGCATAGAGTCGCTTAACTTCTTTGGTAGTGTATTCGAAAATGGGAAGTCCAGTTGCTTCTGTGCCTAAAATGTTTCCTCGTTTAAGTGCTCTTTATTCTTAAAGAATTAGCTTCTCATAAGTTGACGGGTGGATATATACAGCTTTTCTGCCTTGCTAAAGAGTGCCTTACTACTTCCAGGTGACTTGTGTACTGCACTGGTATAAAGTTCACCTGGATGTAAATTCAAATTTGGGACTTTGTTTTGTGGCTAGTTAACTTCGTTGGTTGCATCATTGAAATTCTGGTCAGAACCTGCCATAGAATAGGATGCTCTTTTGTCATGGCGGGACCAAATGCTTGCTGGCATAGAAGTAATAGAAGCTCACCGATTGATACAAACGTGAATGTTCTGGTACACCGTGTATAGGAATACGTATTCTTGTACACTGTGATCATAACTACTGGTCACATTAGCCAGTTTGCTATGTCAATGAATGCTCTGGCGGCGGTATCCAAACAGCTAAAGGTCAATTACAGACCGGATGTAGCTCCGTACCCCTCCCTGCCCTTTCAGTGCACCAACTGTGCCAACTGGTTTGGTAGTCGGTCATCTGCATACCGGCACACGCTGCAGTGCAAAGGCAGGGGGTGGAGTATGGAGACACCCGCTGTGCCTGCTGCTGCTGCTGCTGCGTTGCTAGGCACCACCGCCACCGTGCCTACCGTTGAGGCTACTGCACCACCCAGCCCCACTGCTGTGGCTGCCGCTGCTGCTGCATTGCTAGGCCCTGCCGCCACCGCGCCTGCCATTGAGGCTACTGCACCTCCCAGCCCCACCACTGTGGCTGCTGCTGCTGCTGCGTTGCTAAGCCCCACCGCCACCGCTACTGCCAGACCCCTGCCACGACCCCTGCTGTCATGACGGGTGTGATGGACAGTGGTGCCACCAAAGTGCAGCAGCAGGTACGCAGAGTATGGGTTATGTGATGTACCATGACATGTCGTTGTGGATGTATCCATGGCACATATCGTGCAGTTGCTTCTGATCATTCTTTGTGGGTTCCTGCACATTGCAGGGCACCAGTATCATGCATATGGGGCCTTAAATGTGCTCATATCTTGATGTTCTGCTTGCAGGTCCCAGCTCAGATGGCCATGGCTGCACCGGAGGCGGCTGTGATTGCTGGCAAAACAATTATGGGGCCAGCTGGTTGTGAGCCAGAGGGTGACTCCCTGGAGGAGCTGATTGGTGAGAGACTTGACGATGTCATCGCAGAGTATGGGGACACCATGGTGATGGATGGCACTGGTGGTGGTGCATATGGGATGCCTGACCATGAAACCACCGCCATCACTGCTCACCAGATGTGGGTGTAAGAAGGGATCAGCTCCCCTGGCATCTCCCTAAGTACTCTTTGCCTGGTGTTACATTGGTGCGAATTGCTAGGAGGTGGGATTCCCCAAATCGAATCCGGTCGTGGACATATTGCACACCAGGCATGATGCAGCATACTCTTAAGCTTACCCCAAAGGTGGATGCCCGGGTGGGCGAGAAGTCTACCAGCTGAGTAAAAACAAAGGCCTCCATCTCGGATGGGGGCTGGCGAAATGTCACAATAACCAACAAACAATCCTACAGGGTATGCCCGGGGGTGCCCAAGGATGTTTGCTCGAGGGGGGAGGAATGTAAGAAGGGATCAGCTCCCCTGGCATCTCCCTGAGTACTCTTTGCCTGGTGTTACAGTGGGCTGAGCTTGCTGCAGTGAAACAAGCTTGTTAAGCTGCCAGGGCGGTGCAGTGAAAGAAGCAGCCAAGCTGGGCGCAAAGGCGGCCAGCAGGGGCCAGCACAGAAGAGACTGCTGGGGAAGCACAAGGCGGTGGGTTAGCAGGCATGCAGCAGGTTGCTGGCGTTGACAACCTTTGTAAGCTGTAATAGATTGATTGGTGGCATGTGGAGATATGTATGGGGTCAGGCATTACTAGTAGTGCACACACTTATGCCCCTGGAGGTTTTGGGGATTGAGACCTGCAAGGAGTGAAGTTCATTATGATGGTGGAAGGTAATTGTGCTTCAGGAATGTAGTTGAGCTGCAGGTAGTCCGGTTTACTTCATGGGATGCTGCTGGTGGGGTGTTTTACCTGAGTGATCCATTGAAACATTGAGATTTTGAGCCTTAACGGTGTGGAGTCTTGGAGTACTGTTGTGGCCTATGGTTGGTCAATCTAAGTTGTGGCCTATGGTTGGTCAATCTAACCAGTATGGTTATGTAATTAACGAATCCCAGCATATCCCAGTTGGATATCGAACGGACGTTCCAACGTTCGAGACTGAGATCAACTGACAGGTTGTCGGTGGTGTAAAGTGTGACAGTCCCAATGGCATACTCCAGGCCGGTTCCGGCCCGGTTCCGACCTAACGGGTCCAGTTAACGAGATGGGTAACCGGTCGGTAGGATTACCGGGCGAACCGTTATCCGTTAACCGTCCCCAGTAATCGGTAACCGATGTCGGTAACCTGGCATGAGCAAAAATGCATTTCTGATTGCAACCAGTTTCTTTGTGACAATGCCCATTGTCACAAGGTTCATGCCCACGTGTCACAACCCGACAAGCTTGAGGAGGTTAAGGCAATGTGAATGCCGGGTGACAGGGGTGACAGTCTTGTGCAGGCACATTTGGAGACTAGTTTACACTGAGATTGGGGTGATGTTGGATTAGAATACTTGCAGTTCATGAAATTGAGGAAATGTGTTGCATAGGCATATCCAAACGTTTCAGAGGGACGTTGTTTCGCCCGTAACAAACTTGTTACGGGCGAAACAAACTGGATTTCCACAGTCCCACCACTCAAAGAGCTCCCCACACCATCGCAAAGTCCCTTTTTTATTACAGACACATGTAACAAGTTGTCATAGCTTGAGATTGTCGATACATGACTGCTGGATTGTGACCAGGCCATCTCCTTACATGTCTTGCTGCACCAGCATGAGCAGTGATCCCTTCTGTTTAAAATTTTCAGGCAACATCGCAATGAGGCAAAACATTGTGCCGAATCTGCCGTACAAAGAGTGTTCAAAGCTTCACGCTACT